CACCTCCTCCTCCTCCTCCCCCTCTTAACCATCTTACTCCTTTCTGTGCACACCCAGACAGTATTTACTGAAACAGCTCAGGGGACACACCCGGTTGAGATTCAGCAAATTAACTACTTCAAGCCCTGCCCGATCTGTTCCCTGCCCAATTCGCCAAGCTCATTTAGGAAAAACCAGCCTCTTGCCCTCAAAATACGTAACCAGTTTCAAAAAGCCACTGCTAGAGGGTTTCATAAAGGGGTTAAAACACAAAACCCCTCTCGTGTGCCAATATTAGCTACTGACCACTCTCTCTCCAGAAGGAACACAAAGCTCAAGGGAGGGGAACACAAGCGGCCACGCAGCAGAACCGCCCCGAGCACAAAGCAGCCCGTAGGTACCTGTTGCGAGTTTTTCTTCATCTGCAGCAAGAGGTTTATCCTCTACGGTACTTAGGGGCTTTTCTGCATCTTCAAGCACTGCTATTTCCTCAAATCCTCGAGATTTTACCTGAAGATTTTTTGGGAGAGAACGAGAGATGCATTTTCAGAGAGAAATGGCAGAAGAGATGACATGGGGGTACGTGTTTTAACCTCGTAGTAAATACAACCATTAATCCTGTGAATAATACTGTAACCAAGTCACATCCATCCATCCATCCTGAATTCCCATGTTACTTTGACAGGTAGAGATTATGTTTTAAAGTGCTATTTTTAACGAGGGAAGAAGAATATGTTATTCCTCATGATGGACGTTAGAAGTTCACTAGGTGAATATTGGCTTTTTGGGTACTAAAATTTGACTTTACCTGTTGCTCATGATATGCTCTAAGAGCTTTTTTAACATTGGAAATTTTCGGAGAGCGGATGGGCAGAGTTTTGATTTCCGACGCCGTCAAAGCACTCAGGTCACCCACCGTCTTTATGTTCTTCGCTCGGATGAGCTGCCCCAAGCCTCTGGCGCTGCAGCGGGGGAGAAAAAACAACAGTTTCTTACGCTAGAATTCACGGCCCTTCTGCGTGGCAGAAAGCTATCTCACACGGACGCCACTTCGCGGGCAGGGAAGCGAAGGAAAAACCGAAATGCAGCGACATTCCACTGCAGTTTGTCCTGCAGCCACCAGGGACCAGCGCTCTGAAGGCCGCTCACAAGCGCAGGGACAGGAGCGAGCACCCGAGGAGAGGCCCATCGGAGCAGTTCCCGCTGCAGGTCTGCAGTTTGTCGTGACAAGCGATCACAGTTCAGATCAGAACCCGAACTAGCTGAGCCCCCGGCCTTTCTACCTTCAAAACATGAGTTTTGGGTTTCCCCCCCACCCCAAAATCCCCCTTTGCCTTCAATACTCGGCAAGCTCCCATGGTTTCGTCGCAGACTGTTAAGATCAGTCTGCTCTGGCATGTGAAAGGGAGAAGCTCCCCGTGCTCCCGGCTGCTTTTCATGGTCTGACGTAAAAGACGACATGAATAATGCCAAAATAGTTGAGTCTCTGCCCCACTAAACCCTCCTTTAAAAAAAAACTTTGGCAAAGGTGTCTCTAAGCGGTCACATCTTGCATCAGAAAATTCGGGTTTGTAGGTCTGGCGAGAATTCAGTCTCTATTAAAACGTCCTCTTCAAAAGCAACAATCCACCCACCATATGTTTGATGTAATCTGAGGTAAAATGACATCCACCGGCGCTTTGCAGCCAGCTAAGGCAGGATACACGCACTCCGCAGGGCAAGGCAGCGATTCCTTCACCATTTCCTTAATCTTGAATAATACAGAAAAATCATTAAATTAACTATCACACATTTGAATACAGGAAAAAAAATAGAAAAGATACATGAACCAAAGCACTTCTTACTAAACACTTCTTTGAGCTCTTAAATTTAGGGTTACGAGGTCCTGGGGACAGAAATCCTTTGGTTGGAGTGGTAATATGCTGGATAGAAAAAGAGGAAAAAAAAAAATCTCTCAGGACCGTGGGAATGCAGTTCGTCACAAGATTCCAGCTACCTCGATCCCAGCGTGCATCTGTCTTCAGCGAGTAACAGCACGAGTCGGGCTAAACCAGTGACAGCTACTTCACACTGACTGATCCTCTGCTCTACGGCCGTTGGCACGCGACTACGACCCCACACCGCCGCCAGCTACGAGGGACGGGACACGCGAGGACTGACGGCACAGAGCACACGCAGCGGAACCCACCTTAGCCTGAGGGTTAGACAGAATTTTAAGGCTTCGGGAAGACGGTGAAGAAAAGTGGGATCTAACGACAGGACTCCTCCTGTCTATGTCATCTGCCAGTCCTTCTTGATAAATTGGATTTGCGAAAGAGACTCGACGGATCTGTTTTTAGAAAGAAGGTGGTTTTAGAGTACGAGCTCAAACCTGGCGAAGGAAGTCCGAGGAGACAAAACAGCTTAGTTTGAAATAAAAGTCATTGAAGTTCTTCAATGACACAGATGATGTTTCGCCCCAGGACAGGAAAAAACAGCGGCTGGCTCATTGCTAAAGGAAACGCTGAACATGCTTTGGAAAAAGCTGCTCAAAATCCCGAGGCAAGACCCCGGCCAGGTACGCAGCGGTTCTGCCCTCAGGTTTACTGCGCTGCGCCCCGGCAGCGGACGAGACCGCGGCGTTCTGGTTCGAAACCCAAACTCCCCCGCCCGAGCCCCGGTAACGCACGCCTGTCAGAGCTTGTGCAGCCCAACAGGAGATCTGTAAGTCTCCAGCTCCAGCCCGAGATCATTTACAGTGAAAAATACAGTCAAAATCTCAACGCAGCTGGAACTCCTCACACTACGGACGCGGTGACATATCCCGGTTATGAACTAACGAACCGCGAGCATCCCACATCACAATACCTTATTAGCAGGTGACAGGGAATCATCATCTTGATACCTTTTTACACCTCTCTTTAAAATACTCGTGGATGGAGAAGCCGAAGGAGACCACATGCAGCGAGCCTGCATGCCGTTAGGGCTGTCCGTAACCGACGCCGAAGAATCGCCACCTGCCGGCTTTTCAGGCGAATCCACGCTGGTAACTTCCACTGCCTCTTCCTTGTCCAAGGCCACGTTTTCAGGCACTGCAATTTCCGTTTCCACCAATTCCTCCTTTATCTCTTTGTCTTGAATCATGCAACTTTCTCCTACATTACTCTCAGCTTCTATATCATCCCAGCTGCTTTCTGCCTCATCCATCCGGCTCTCCTCAGGTTTGCTCACCACCGCCAGGGCCGCAGGCAGCTCCTCCAGCGTTTCTTCCTTTCCCGCACCTTCGCTGGGATTCCCTGCGGCCACGCAGCCATCACCGGGCTCACCTGAAACACCCTCAGAAACACCCTCAGACAGACGCTGTTCAGTTTGGTGCTTCTCATCAGCACATTCTTTCATCTCCCCTCTGGAGTCAGTGGTGTCACCTGCTGTACCCTCCGGGTTCTCCGCCATTATGACATCACTTCCTTGCGGGTTATCTCCAGATGTCCCCTCTCGCTCCAAGTCTAACGCGCTGCGTTCCCCAGGAGGGTGCACTGGAGTGCTCATGGCGCAAGGTGCCATGGACAAGCTCTCGTCAAAATTTGAATTACCAGACACCTCCGCTGTACCCACGAACGCCTGAACTGGGGTGGTTCCGGGCTCGTTCAGTTCAGGTTTTGACTCGCTGAATGACATGACTTGCTGCTTCGACTTTTTACAGCAGCAATCACAGTTCTTCAGTCTTTTAATCCTTCTGCTTCTTTTGTGCTGACACTCGGGTATTTGCAAAGAGGAGGGATCACCCGAGGCATCTGCTCCTGGTACGTGCTCGGGCAGAACAGCTGAACAACAGTCTTCTACGGCTGTTTGCTTCTCGACGTGTTTCTTCTCCTCTGCAGCTTTCAAACCTCCATCAGATACGCTGACTGATGGGTCGGTGAGCGAGTCCACCAACGCACCGCTCTTGTTTGGCTCCACGCTGGTGCTCTGGGCATCAGGTGGATTCTCCGAGCCGGCAGATCCCAGGGCTTGGCTAGCGTCCGCAGGAACGACTTGGTTTTTCAGGTCACACGGTTCAGATGTCAACGCAGCATCTGTGCTGACCTCACGGCTCAGTTCACCTTGATTTGCTTCCAACGGATTCTTCGTTTCCTTTCCTTGGGAAGACACCTCGTGGCTACAGCTTCCTGGATGTAGATCTTTCAATTTACCTTCAAGAGAATCACTTCTTTTTTTCACTTTTGCAGATTTTTTCTTCCTCGTGCTTTCCTCCTTGGTCTCAGAGCCATCGGCCTCTGAATTTTCTATGCTGGCAAGCAATCCTTGAGAAGCTCTCCTGGTGTAGTACCGCAGGCGTTCCATCATCTTCTGGCCCACTGTACTCGAGCCACAGTCCTGACCTTCCATGTCGGCCTTCAGGTTGTTTTCTGACCTCCTAGCGCTTTTGTTCGCTTCCTCCTCCTCAAGGCCCCTCGCGGCCGGAGGCTCCTTTGAGCTCGAGTCCTCCGCCGCCGCTCTCTCAGGCGGGCCGCTTTCTTTTTTATTTGTATGCTCTGTACTTTTCCCAGAAACTGCCTTCTGCTTTTGGGATACGTCGTCTTTAGTCTGCGGTGCCTTCCTTTGCCCTAGTTTTTCGTCTTCTTTACGCCTTTCCCTCTTTTGGTGGCCATCTTCCTTATCTGCCGTACCTTCTATAGTTTCCAACCGTCGTCTTAAAGAACGTCTTGGGATTTTCGGGTTAGGAGACGCATGTGGAGACGCGTGTGGAACCTGACTATCATCCCCTGCTGCCTGATCAGGCGCTCCCGTCGCCTCTGGGGGTGTATTTTCTTTAGAATCCGTATCTGACACCTGTTTTTTTTCCATTTCTGCTATTGAATCTTCAGCTTTTTTAATATCCACTTCCGTAGAATAGAGGGCTTGGGACTGAGCAAGGAGAACATGCTCCATGGCTTCCACTGTGGGGCACAGTTCAGGATCATACCCCATGCTGTTGGAAGCAAAAGACTCCTGTCCACTTCTGTCCTGGTCTGACCTCAGCAAGAGCCTGGAATGTTTGTTGCCTTGGTGCTCCATTTTGCTCTGCCTGCGAGTCAGCCTTCGCAGCGCGGTACAGAGCTGCTCGGACTCAGATTTTGAGAGCTTTTGATCTTCTCCCGATTTTTCTGGTTTAGCACTAGTCTGGCACCTGTTTGTATTCTCCTGTTTACCTCCCGCAGAAGCGCCTCCGGACACGTCTGACGAACCGTTCAGCGCCGAAAGGCCACAGGGTCTGTGCTCCGAACTGCCGAATTTCTCCAAAGTGATAAAGGACTGCCGTCGGCTCGCGGGCTGCGGCGTTCCGGAAATGACGTCACTCGAAGCCGAGCTGCTGCTCACATTTGAGGTGTTTTCGTTCCCCACCGAGGGCTCCTTTGGAGCCGTTTCCACAGCACTTTTTTCTAAGCCCTCTCCAACCGACGGCTCCCCCAGACTATCTCTTTTTGACTCTCCCTCTGTGTTCAAACTTGAGCTCTCCTCTATGCAAGTAACAGGCGGCTTCTTCCCACAGGCAGCGTCCTCAACATTATTATCTGATCTGCAGTCCTCTGGGGTTTCACCCAATTCCTTGGTGCATCCTTCACTCTTTGCATTTTCTTCCTGTCCCCAAAACACAAACAGTAAAGCAGTTTTGAGATAAATACGATATAAAAACTGGCTATGGTGGAACAGAAAACACACATCCACAAGGTTTTTTGAAGCACCCTTCCTTCAAATTATTTTGTTATCTGTCCTTCAGTAGTTTATAAAAGACCTTTTTTTTTAAAAAATAGATGTTTAATCCCAAACCACAAAGAAGTGAGATATTAACAAACCTAAGACTAAAACAGTTTTTATGAAAAATCTGCTGGATGTTACCTACTGTGTGGCACTACAGCTGATCGAGCTAGCTGTCGAGCCAACAAAGGGGAAGAGATCTAGATTTCGAATTTAAAGTATTATTGTTTTTCTTCCCCAAATCTACTATTTAATCCCCCTCAAGCCCTTAGAGCTCCATCCCAAAGCAGCTCAGAAGGTGGAAGCACAGCTGAGCTGTTTAAAAGCACGGCCCACTACAGCAGTGCAGCGATCAGCACAAAGACCTTGAAAACAATAAGGAAAATAGCTCCAGAGAATCCCACTGCGTCCCAAGCACAGCTGCCAGAGGAAAAACCAGCGTTAGGGAAGAAAATCCAACGGTGTCGTGATCCCTAATGCAAAGCCAGGCAACTAACGGTGCAGCGATCAGCACAAAGACCTTGAAAACAGTAAGGAAAATAGCTCCAGAGAATCCCGCTGCATCCAAAGCGCAGCTGCCAGGGGAAAAACCAGCATTAGGGAAGAAAATCCAATGGTGTCGTGATTGCTAATGCAAAGCCAGGCAACTAACAGGTCTCAGCCCAGCACCACAGCAAGTCCCAGCGAGCGTGGGCTACAGCTTTCGGGTTTTGCCCCACTAAAGCATCAGCCAGGGGTCACACGGACCAAAACTGACCCCTAAGTCCCAGGGATGCCTATAGCTGCATAACAAAACTTAAACACACCAACACTGACTGGAAACCCTCCCGTTTTGAAACTAAAGTCCGAACGTTTAATGACTGGCCCGTTCTAGTGTAAATTACATAAAGCCCAGCACAGCACCAAGAACACCGCGGTGGCATCAAATCCCAGTCTGGTGACGAGAAGGAAATACAAACCACGAAGCTGCCAGAGAGCTCTACAGCCCCGGAGCCTGTGTTGGTGTTACTCAGGCGTGGGAAAAATAGAGGAAGCCCAAGAAAGAGCAGATATTCTCAAGAGCTTTACAGGTTAATCAGAGAAAGGAAAATGTTCCTGTGAGCCAATACATTTGGGGGTACGTTTTTTTGCTTGAAGAGTTTCCAAATCAATCCCAAACCCGTATCATAACCAGTTATCAGAGTTTTGTCATTAATGACCAAAGCTACTAATATGAAGACGACATCGCTGGTTTAGTTCTAATTCTGGTATCTTCATCACCATGAGACAACGAGAAATTACCTGAGGCTCGTTTTTAGTATCTTCTTCTGCATTTTCTACTAAAGATGGTTTTTCCCTAGAACAGAAGTACTTAAGTTAGAAGTGTTGCAGAAAAGGGGGGTCATCTTTAACGTCTATACTCGCCACCTTTACTTACAAAGAATCTTCCTGGCTCTGAGTATACTGAGAAAATAAGACAGTATCTTGTGACGTGTCCAAGTTGTTGTACATCACAGGGATGCCAACTCTGAAACAAACCCAGAAATGGCAAGTTCAGTCAATAAAAGGAGGACAGGGCAGGGTAGTGCATTCATCACGACGCTTGTACGGAGCGGACTGAGCTTCCAGGCTCCCAAGAGTGCTGGGACTGCAACAGCCACCCACGCAGGGACTGCTGCAAGAGCGGGGCAGCACGTATCACCTGTCGGGAGACGGCGTGACCGCGCGCCCCGCTCCCTCTTCCGGGCAGAACCACCCAATAGTGCAACCGGCCGCTGCAACCTCCCGCTCCAGCTGGCCCAGCAAACTGCCAAGTGGACGCAGGTCACGATTTAGCTCCCGATTTCAAGACCGCTATTTTCAGTTGCATTAAAATTTTTAATTTCAAACATGCTTTTGGGGGAAAAAAATAAAAAAGCTGTGATTGGGATTCCACTCCGCAAAGAATCCATCACCACACGCTAGCTACGTAATCCAACCGAGTTCCTCTCAAGCACCACCGTACACAAATTTTGCTTACGCTGCGTTTTTGCTGCCCGAGTACAGGAAATACTCTGGTATTATTTTCTCACATTGAAAACGGGATAATTCTAAAGATTCCCTCGCAATTAAGATGAGACTTTGGAATATCCCGATTTCTCATATGCTGCTGACCTAAGACTTCTCTCCAAATTTACGAGTCTCTCCTTCAGATCCGCTAAGAAAACCCTTTCGTGGCAACGGCTTCAGAAAAACGCCGGCTTCCATTTCACATCGCAAGGGAGAGTCACGACAGAAAAATGTAAACTCCAAGTTACCAAACTCCAGACAGATGACAGAGTATATTTAATCAAAATAAAAAATGCAGATGGGAGAGTAATTTGGTTGCTTTAAAACAGTAAAGCAAGGAACTTGGTTAGCTTTAAACTTTACTGTAACTGGTATGGAAGAGCAAGACTTAATTACCTACAACAGTCTGAGATACAGGGACTGAAGTTACGTCAATGTGACACACCCAACGCAATCACACTTCACGTTAAAACGGAATAAATCACAGACCTCTTTGACCTAAGCACTTCTTTTTGATGCTCCGTCAATATTCTTTCTTTTGCTTCTGGAGGAATGAACACAAAATCAACAGATTTCTCCTCTTCCAGAAGCACCTCGCTTTTAGTCTTTGAAGATGCAAAGTCTAGCTTCAACTACAGAAAGGGAAAAACCAAACACCTGGATTAGACACAAAACAGAGGAATTGAAAATGTTTTCACAGTTCAGGTACCGCCATCCTAAGTGGACCTCGAACAACCGCAGTTCTCTCAGCATACGGATTGGCACCAATCCCTCCGTAGGCGCCTGTTCTCTTGACGAGCGATGTCCCCCGCCCCCAACACCACACGTAGCAGAGAGAACACAACGCCTGTCTCTCCCCAGTGCCGGGCCTGGAGCACGCAGCGCAGCTCTACCAAAACCAAGCTCCACCTCAACACCTGAACCTGTCGCAACCTGCGGCCAGACCGCGGTGCGAATTCTCAATCTGGTTGCCCCTCCTCCCACCCATCAAGCAGCCCTCCGTAGCAGTCTGTAAACTTAGCAGGGAATTTTAACAGGAAAATTTATTTACATTGTGCTACAGAGCGTACGTTTGAAAGAAAAATACTTCAGCATTAATTCATTCATTAAATTTACTGAGAATTTACAGCAGCACACTAGGTGTTCTGCTGCAGAATACAACGGATTAGATTCCCTCACGCCTACGTGTAACACCTTACCTTTGCTGATGGTACCTGCACATTACTGGACTTGTCTTTTACGTCATTTTTTAGTTCACTTGGCTGTGACAATAGAGAGTCTCGGGTTTGGCCCAACTTTACTTCCATCCCACTTATCTTCGCATCCAGCTGTGAATTTTCCATCTATTGAAATAAAACCCACACTGAATGCATTGTGTGAAGAAACTCCAAGCTCACAAACTATTCCCAAGACGTATTAATTTCTACAACTAAACTCCCCCACACTCCCATTTTCCTCTAAATTACATAGAGGACAACTTAAGTGAGTCATAGTTTCCAACCAGCTGGTAGAACCCAAGACTCGAAATGCATAAACTGTCAAGAACCAGCTCAGTCTTTTTGCCAGCGCTCACGCAGCACAGTTTACCATTCCAAACACAAGGCAAGCGCAGGCCAGTCACAGAAAAAACCACAAGGGACCTCGCCGCTACTTTCTGAACAAGCTCCGCCTCGTGAAGCGCCCATTGGGTCAACAAGATACTTACCGCGTCAGAGAACGGGCCGCTGTAGTCTTCAGCCATCTCGATGCTTTCAAAACCAGGCAGCAAGAGCGGGATTTTCTTTTTGGCTTGGCTTAACACAGACCTGGCTCAATAAAAAAAAGAAATTTAAACTTATGGAGAGGGCGGGGGGGAAAGGTAAGCAACAAGACCAGCAGGTATCCCAGCTTGCTCAAAAAGCAGACTATAAAAGGAAACCAGAACGCCATCGGTTCATTTGTACCTAACCCCAGATCTCCTCCTTTAGAAATACAGAAGTATAACACCACGCAGATCTTACCTCAGCTCCTCAGGGTACGTTAACGACGGGGTCTTGGCGAACGTGGAGTTCCAGAAGTGGGCACACTGGTTGCGGATCTGTTTGCTCTTATGCTGAAATAAGACGCAGAGCAACGGAGAAAGCCGCTCCAGCAGTTCGCTGTCGTAAGAGCCGGTGCAGTGAGACTGCAAACACAGGATCATCTCGGCCAGTAGCTTCTCAAGCTGAGGGAGGGAAGAAACAATAGGAGTTTTTTATTTAAATCAAATATTGCACATATTCGCTATTCAAGAGTTGAAAACATTATCATCCCACAGAATAGTATGGCCTGAATAAACAAGTTCAAACGCCACACAAGAAGTCTAGAAGCTAGGCTTAGGGATCCTCCCCTCAGCTACCTTTTTAGTTTAACAATTAAAATGCTACCTTCATTACATTTTTAAACTGTTTTCAGAACACAGGACGAATGGCACATGTCACACGTTTCCCCAACCCCAGCTACTTCTCCAGCCAGCTTACCTTGTTGTTAAGATTACTGTATACTTTAGGCACATCAGCAAGCCTGCCAAAACAAACAACACAGTTAATTTTGCTGTGTGGTGTAATCATTCACCCCAAGCATAAGAATTAAACACAAACTGCACTCAAGCACTGCCCACTGCTTTCAGTATACAACCCGAGACATAACACTGTGAAACAAGCCGCCTGCTGGGCCATTAAAACACTTCCTGAAGTAAACAGTTTCAAGCAAGCCCGTCCTTTAACCCCCACTGATACTTACACACTAAGAGAAACTCATGGAAAGAGCTGTAGTAATTAGTACTGACTTAAAATTAAAGTTTTTCTTTTGAAGTAACTTCTAACTGCCTTCTTTGCGTTGCTCTTAGCCCTCTCCCCAAACAGATTTCTCAAGCCCCACAAATATCTGCATTAAAAAGCTTAAGTACCACCTAAACCAAGTAACTTCACGTAAATAAACCCCTGGGCACACCATCCTGAAACACACTGAGAAAAGAACATTTAGCAATTCATTTTAGAAGCCTGGGACCTCCGCCCGGAGGAGGTTCCCAAACATCTATTTGCTCGCATCTGCCTTCCTTCAAAAATACGGATCCAAGCGTCACTTCTCCCTTGCAATGAATAATTCCAAGAAAGACAATGCTCAAACAAAGGCAGGTGAGATGGGAGATGGAGAGAGGTGGGGTTCAGCTCAACCTGACACGGGACCAAGCGGACTCTTCCCTCCAAGACAGGGACTCCTGGTGAACTTTAGATTAGCCGTCCTGCTTCAAGTTTCAGTGAAAGCTCCAAGAAAACATTCACAGGCGGACTGGCAGCATCCCATCCTCTCCTCCCACAACACTCGAAGCTGTACTCCGTTCCTTTTCCTTACCCTGAGCAAACTGCACAGCTCTCGCATCACCAACAAATCAGAGACAAGCCTCTGCCAGCCCCCTCCCACCAAGCCCCTAATAATTCCCTCGTGTCCTGGGAAGAGAAGCTACAACAATTATATTAAAAAAAGCAAAGCTATATTAAAAAAAAAAAAAGCACGCAGCAACAAACAAGTATTTCTCAGTACTTCCCTCTGCTTAAAAACTTACAGGGGTTCAGCGCACTTCAACTAATGACTATTTCTCTTTTTCCTACAAAAAATGGTTCCTGCCCACTAGCAACAAACCACTGTTGATACCTTCAGTGCAGTGAAAAGATACAGCAGATGGAAGCTAAATGCTTTAGTCCTGCAGAGATGACAACACATTCGCTCTAAAGAGACGACACTTTGGAATGTGAAGCTTTGAGAAGGCCCGTAGGTTCCCTCTGGTGCACGACTGGGTAGGCCGGGGTTTATTTCTAAAGAAAAGCACCGTGAGCAGACTGCCGCTCCCACGTGCCCATTTCTGAACCCCCTCAAAGTCACCAGAGAGGGGGGCTGTGCCGCGGTGACGCACGGGCGACGAGCCAGGCAGCCACCTCAGCCCAGGGGCCCGGCCCGCTCAGCGCCAGCGCCCCGGTTTTAGGCAGCGGTTACAGAGCGCAGCAAGGTCTCAGCGCCCACCCTAGCGAGCTACGGGCGACGAGCCAGGCAGCCACCTCAGCCCGGGGGCCCGGCCCGCTCAGTGCCAGCGCCCCGGTTTTAAAAGACAGCAGTTACAGAGTGCAGCACGGTCTCAGCGCCCACCCTAGCGAGCCGCCCTTTCGGCAGCACTTTGGGCACCACAAAACCAGCACCTACCAGCCAGGCTGAGTCGAGGAAAACCCAGCGCTCCCAAAGGTGAGAGGCTTGGGAGGAGGTGGAACTTCTCAGCCTATCGGTGCCGAAGCGCTGAAAACCCCCGAGCTGCATTCACAGGCACCGCTTGCTACAGACCACACAAGATTTCACCCGTATGCAGCGATACAATGAGTCCAGTTTTCCACCCGTTCTTAAAATACTCACTTTGTTCTTTCATAAAACACTGCCAGGGGTTTTGAAAAAATCGCAAACATAGTCCCAATCACTGAAGGCAATGAAACGTGGCTGATGATGTTGTGGAGAATAGCAATAACTGAAGGACCAACAGAGACCAATGTTTCTGAACAGATTTCTTTGGAACTGAACACATGGAAAGAGTTTAGTAACGTCACCAGGAGTTTAAACAGAGAGGCAAGCTTTCCAAGGGGTTCCTTTTTCTTCTTAGACCAATCTGTAGGTGTCTGTGGAGCTAACGTTAAGAAAATAAGATACTGTTAATTTTTTTCTTACCTAAGCAGTGTGCATTACCACAACACACATGTGAGCTTTTTGTCTACAGGAGAAACAGAACTTCGATTCCCAAACTCTTATCCATATATAGTGTAAAACCAGACCTAACAGGGGACATACAGTTTTTAATGCGTAGTTTTATCGTAGCACTACGGGTGTGATTCCTGTTCCTCTTAGTTGTATTTACGGTGGTCACACACACGACTAGGCTCTTAAGTATCTTTAGTGCCTACTTGCAAAGAGACAGCAGCCACGCTGCAGACACCAGCTGATTCGCACAAATTCTGGAACAGGTGAGGAGGAGGGAAGGTGAAGTATCAACTTTTGTTATTTGATTTATAAGTGAACCCTCCACCATGCTCTTCCTCACCAATGTTTCCAATTAAAGCATTTCATTCTTTCAGCTGTCCAACGCATCTTACTGCTATAACAAATTCACATGGGGCAGAGAAATTATAAATACTTCAAGTATTATAGAATGATGTTGTTCTGTAAATTATTTCTTCAGCTTTAGTAGATGTAAATGGGAGCAGGGAACAAAGAACATTTTACGTACAATGTCCTTTTCTCTCCCGTTAAACCTACTCTCGGCCATTTTACACAAAGCAGCTTCAGGAGCAGCAGCCTTACAGCGTTCTGTTAACCGCTGACCCCCAGTTTTAGGCAGGTATTGCACGATCTGACCGATTTACGATCACGCTTTACTGCTTTAGATCACGTTTGAAGAAAGCAAGAGCAGCAGATTTCACACGCAAAAATGAAATCATAGCCAAAACATCAGACACAACTTCAGAAAGGGGCAGTGTTTGACAGTGAACTGGGAAGCGGCCTCAACGTTTACACCCATTTCAGATGTACTTGGAAGGCTACGCAGTAACTACTCAACTGCTCCACAACCAGAAGAGATCTCATACTCTGATATGCAGACTGGATGATGTTTTTAGTTCCTTTTAATGATTTTATTTTTTTTTTGGGCCATCCCTTCAGTGCTTAGACAGTATGTGTGGCACATACAGACTTTTGATATCCCACAGCCATCACTTCTGCATCTACAACAACTCTAATTTTCGCCCAGCTCTGGAAGAAAGACACAGAAACCCCCAATATTCAAGTATTTTCTTACATCTAGTTTTTGGCTGATATTTAGTACCGTACGGTGCAAAGTTGATGCAGTCAACCATAACTGATACAATATGGGTGAGACTGTCCATCATTGAAAACATCTGAGGAGGAAACAGAAGTCATCAGCAAAGCCCAAAAGAGCAACAGTGACAGAAAAACACACGTTGGCTGTTCAGGACAGCAACGCAAACAGCTTTTAAAGTGGACAAAGCAAAGCCCAAAAGAGCAACAGTGACAGAAAAAACACACGTTGGCTGTTCAGGGCAGCAATGCAAACAGCTTTTAAAGTGGACAAAATTTGTCTGCGTTACCAGGTAAGACTCAGATAAGATTGCACTTAAGGATTCACACAAGCTGAATACCCAGTCTTCCCATTCTACACAAATAAGCCAGAAACACGTACACTATCTAAAGAAGCAAAACAGGGGCAGGCAGCTGTAAGAAGGTGTTAGATTTAAGGTGCACGAAAGGGTTCAAGGCACTAGCTGTCTAGCAAAACACGTCACCAGACGTCAGCGTGTGCTTAGGTTCAGTTGCTGCACAAAGCCTCACTTTCAGAAGTCACTGTAGGTGTAACAGTGAGGTGGTTGTTAACACTCAGGAAGCACGATCGGTTTCTGGTGCGTATGAAAAGATGGATCAAGGGTATTTGCTTCCCCGATCCATCACACATCCTTCTAAACAAAAGCAAGTTTTGTTTTAAAAGGAACACTGATATTGTGGATCAAAAAAAGCAGCATCCAAAGGAAGTTATAATGATGCAATCCTCCAAATTCCATGTTTCTCTCCCATCTCTTATTTGTTCCTTTCCCAGTATTTTTTCAAAGGACAGTCAACTTCAAAACACGAAGGGTTTTATGTTCCAGAGCCAGTGTTCACCGACACCTACAGATGCTCTGTCTCCCTGTGTGACGTGGGCCTGCACACAGGCAAGACAGATAATGTAAAGCTTCCTCTTGCAAAGGTGTTCTCTTTCCTAAAGCTTTAGAAGTCAAGTTTTTCAGTGTACAAGGTTGACAGTACCGGGAATATAGCACGTTATGCCCTCTGAATGCCACAGTACTACCCTGTCCTCCTTCCTAATCCAAATCCCCCTTTTCATGGTATTTGTTAACTCAACGGAAGTCAGTGTATACATACACACGCATTTCAAGAGGACAAATCATATTTACCATGATGACGACATTCACTAAAGCATTATTACTTAGCTAGAAGACAAATCTAAAGACTGCTCAGCTGCTGTTTTCACATTTAAGCTTTATAATTTTTTTTACTCCCTTCTTTCAATCCATTTCTATAACAACTCCAACTCCCGTCAGCAAAAAGAACTTTGTTACGGCTTTATCTAAGTCTCACCCAAAACACTCTGAGTCACAGAAAGTACTACATTAGCATTTACAACAAGGTCTTACATCCAATTTAAAAATATATCTGCTAAAAGTATTTACATAGTTCAATATCACTGGTTTATACTCACTACTGGAGTTTCACCTTCTAGCCCAGACAGTATTTTGGCACAAAGTTCTTCACAGCATAGGTTTTCTTCTGCTGTTGCAACTAAAGCAGCGCAGCGAGCAAATGCTCTATACAGGTCTGACCAAGTGCGCAACAAGGATTTCATAGTTGGCTTTAACAACAGAAAGAAAAAGTTTATAAATATCAGTGTCTGTGCAGAGAGATAAACACTTATTTAAATTTTCTTGTTCTGTTAAAACCTACGGGACTCAAGAAACCCAACCCCGGAGCAGTGGTCCAACGTATACACGTATCAGGAACAAACTCCTCTCGGGACTATCGGGCAGCACTTCACAGTTTTTACAAACCCCACATTGTTTCTCATCAGTGTTATGCATTCAGTGTTACCTGTGGAAACTCCTGAACGGGGAAGATGTGCGATACTGGCAGCAGCAATGCACTATAAACAGCACTGAAGTTGTGTTCCAGTGCATCACCCTGATTTACTTCGTTAGTCTGCAACGAGAAAACAGTTTGCTGATTAACGAAGCTGCAACATTTAGAGGACATAAGGCTGTTCTAAACACAAATACTTGGTACATAAGATCTGTGCAAGCTAAATTGCCAGCGGCCTTTTGAAATCAGCTGTTCTCAGTTCTTTCAAGAGATCCTGCACAAAAAGCACTGTTTCCAAACACCAAAGTAACTTAATTCCAACAATAAAAGCAATCAGTTAGAAAACGTCTTTTGTATTTTTTACTTATTTCAGTTGCAGGAAGTGTGATGAAAACAACCTCCTTAAAGCACCTAAAGCTTTCTTCATAAGTTCTAAGATTTTTTTTGGTCTAACGACTACACGAGGACTAGTCCAACACCACCTACGTCACACTCAGTGTACTTCTAGGAACTCACCTGCCCAGCTGTGGCATGCTACACTCGCAATTCAGGCATGAAGAATTAAAGCACTTCACACGGCTTTCATGAGGGCTTCCGATCAGGAAGTCTAGCGCTAATACGAAACATTGTTCTAATTACGTCCTAAATGTCACAACTTGCTAGTTATTGTATTTTCAGACAAAGCAAAGGAGCCTCTCGGCACTTCAAAGTTACCAGGGCCTGGAGGGCAGGTTTCCACCGTTTGCAGCAGCAAGACTGCACCAAGGCCAGAAGGTTTGAAGCACATCTATGAAGATGTTTATAACCTTAAAAAAAAAAAGGAGAAAACCACTCCCAACGCTATACTGGACACTGTACCTAGGAGTGATGATTCTTTTGGGCTGGAATCACTTTAAACCACACTCTAGATCACCACTCCGCTGCTGCCCTTCACCCTACCTCACTTGCAAACGGGCATAACTCCAGTTAGGGACTTTTTAAACAAATGCTGCACCCATTCCAGTTTCACAAACACCACCACAGCTTATTTAATGTTACTATTGTTTCAAGACACATCATTCCTAAAAATACATTTAAGATAAGAGATCAGCACCAAGTTTTCCTGTGGGTTTTTGAGGGGGATGGGGAAAAGAACAGAAAGCCACTGTACCCGATTAATCCATTCGGTTAGAGGATTAACAACAATACTCCACATTCTCCAAAGATGCTCCTTATTTTCCACTTGCTTTGCACTCTGATTAATAATGCAGATCACAGACTCACTGAAAGCCAGTGGAGATGTAGGCCCAGACAAAACATAACCCACGAGCGTTTCCAGAATTACAAAGAATCTAGGGAAGAAAGTTAAATAGGTAAGATACTTTTTTTTTTTCAGCTGAAGCTAGGAAAAACTTCTGTGAAGTCTTGCATGGGAAGCTCGTTACGAACAAACACCACCACATACCTCTCATCTGTTACGCAGCATTCCAAGAGGTTGTTGTGGAAAGGCAGCTGAATTAAGAACAAAGCTGGTGTTCCCTTGTGAGAGAAATTGAAGAGGTCAAAACAACACGTACATCAATCAAATGAAACAGCTGCCTCACACGTGTACCTACGTACTAAACCCTAAGTCAGAAATTTGCAATTATTAAAAAGTTGTTCAAAATTGTCAAATCTAACACTTCAACATGGGGGGAAAGCTGAGAACCTAAGCTGCTGCTAGATCCTGGCACTTCAGCAGAACATCAGTTATACTCTAATTGAAGCAAAAAACTTCTCTGTTTAAAGGTTGCAGTGTTATGGTACTAAGTCATTACTGCCTTGAAATGACACACAACACTAAGGCAGGTGTATGTAACGCAGTTGGGGCGTATGATGATACCTGGAACAAGGTGGAGCAACCTGAGATTTGCTTCTTTTAAGGTTTCAGCAAGACATCTTTTGGGCAAGCTCTGTTCAGACCTACCACAAGTATGTCAGGCTTGCTAGTGTTCAAGTATTTAACAAAATGCATTTAATACGTGTCAATTAAAAGTTCAGCCACCCTAATAAAGTTCTGCCTCCTGTACTAAGTCAGAGAAAGCCTCCCAGTGTAATTAAAACACTCGGGGGGGAAAAAAGCTGGGAGGAATTTTGAGAGGTGAGCTCTTAAGCCAATTCTGGTAGACAAAGTTTTCTACTACTCACTTGAGTTGAAGCATTCGCTTACTCTTGTTACACTTAGCCCTCTCTGAGACCTGTCTGCTTTTAAAAGCCTCAAAAATCAATTCCATGCGCTCCCTGGCTAACAGTGTAAATGTTTAGCTACTTTCATAGGCTAAAAGCCTCTGTCTCCACTGCTGCAAAACGAAGTTGCCTTCTATCTACTGGTGGATGGAGAAGAGCTGATCATCATCCAATTTTTAAAGGCCCTAAACAACTTTTCAAACGTTTAACAAACCTAACTGGTGGCACGCTCCCACTCAGTCTGCTCCACTCCAATCAAAGAATGCACACACAAAAAACCCAGTGTCACTTCCACCTTTCCTCACAGGTCAGGTTTTGGGGTTAGTGTCCAGATTGCTATCGCTCGTTTCTCCCTCCCAGTGCAGTACACAGAACACAGTCCAGCGCTCCAGTTAGGGCTCATGAGGACCAAGGTAGAACAGAGTAGCTCTCACTGGTGATGAGCATCTCCACGTTTTCTGCAGTGGACTATGGCCAGTAAGTTCAGGCTTTAGTTCCCTGCAACTTCTGAACTTTTTCTGAAATAATGCAGTCCAGTGTGATATTCCCGCTTCGCTCCTGTGCATTTCATTTTTCCTGAGTTGCAGCATCTTTTACCTTTCTTTCAAGTACTTCACTCTGTTGACCCCACAACATTTTCCCAAAACATTAGTTTTCAGCCTGTAAGCATGCAGTCTCCTTGCAAAGCATCTGCAACCTGTATTTTATATCGTGACCTGAACACGAGAAGCCCTGTTTCATTATCACAGCACTGCCAGCATACCCCTTTTTAGTTAGAGGCAGTTAAATTACTCAACAGGGTGAGGGCTGGAAACAAAGCCTGCATTCTGGAACATGGAATAACAGGATTTTCTGAAAGATTTGGAGCTCACGACTTATGAAGTGTCCTGTACGTTTGTGCAAACACAACATCCTAATACCTTCCAGCATAAAGATGAAATTCTGGAATCAAGTCACACTTACATTTAAAAGATCCATATCAGCAACCTGGTAGGCTGGTGATCCCAATACTTTTGGAGGCAACTCCTTTACAGTAATATCAAGGAGGGACTAAGAAGAGCAAAGGAAGAAAACGTAGGTAAACACTTTTTTCCTGAGGGTTTGAATATTTTAAGTAACACCACAAATAGAAGCAAAACCGTAACAATAGCTTCCCTTTAGCAGAAAGAAAAAAAAATCCATTGTGAAAGTAACGGTCCTTTGAAGCAGAAGGTTCTGGTAAGACCGTGCACCCGATCCTGTGAGCACTACTGCAAACCTGAACAACACTTCTGAAGAAAGAAACCCCTAAGCAGCACTATGCCACCTCATGAGAGCTGTGTAACTTACAGTTCACACCCAAAAAAGTTGTCTCTTTAAGAGACCATCCTGGGAAGTCAGATGCAAAAAGCTGCTACCGATCAGAATCCAGACCATCAAAAAGAAACGAGACTTGGAAACCAGACGAACCCACCCAACGTACCAGTACTTTCTGCACAGGAAGAGAATTTGATCGAACAGTGGTTTTTAAGGCCTGGAGCAACATTGTCAGTATTTCTGACCCTTGCTTTTCTTTCTTATTTCCTAGGAATAAAAAAAAGCATATTTACAGTTAGAGCAGAACAAAGGAATGGTCACTCTGACCCACTGTATAGAACTTCAAGCGCTGTAATATACTGCAAGATCAAAAGAATTCTGTGTGTGCTTATAAACATATACCAAATACTTGACAGATTCAGATACCAAGTCTGTGCTCCGAAGAACAGCACAACTGACTTCGAAGTTTAAATAAAAAAGCTACCCTAAGTTTTATTAGTAAAGTGGAAACACCTTTGTGTCATTAACAACCTTAACTTCAACATGCTAAAAAAAGTTGCCAAATTTGGCAATTCATCCAAGCAATGCTCTTCATTTTTCTAATGCTTTTCAGCTAGACCTTTCAATATGAGAGATTTCATTATTAACAGTATTCTGGACTTTCAAAGCCTGTAGAGAGTAATGAATGCTTTTTAACAGGAAACAACTTACTCTCTACATCTGCAAAGACACTACACTTTACTATGAAACAAAATTTCATTAAAGAAAAAAAGGCAGCCGCAGTCACATAACAGAGACTCACGTGAGTGATACACTGCATGTCTCGGTCTCTCAACACCAAGGACTTGGGGTGGGTTATTCTTTTTGGAGGGGGAAAGATTTCTTCAGCAAGAAAAGCAGTTAAAGAGCTTTATTATCTTTCTTACTGCTACATGTGATAGCCCTGCAGCCACATGCTGCTGTGCCTTCGCTAGTAAGCCTCACTGGATCAGACCACTATGGTTCTGTATGTGTCACACAAAGATGGAGACATCCCAAAAAATACCCATTACTGCTTCAAAAAGAGCTACCGATGAATGCCCAAAACCAAGCTTTAAAAGCAATGAAGCAAGTACTACTTAAGGCCTAGTCTTAAAAAACCCTCTAACTGGTCAGCAATGACAAAGAAAAAAAAAATACACTTTTTACCTGATTCAATAGCTGTTTTCACATATCCATTTATGCCCTTCCATATAACATTCAGCATACAATCTACAAGACAGCATAGTACTGTAGTCAGTTTGTAATAAAAACGTTAAACAAAATTGCAGTTAAAATACGAACTGTGCTACAGACTGTGACACAAGCTTTCAAACCAAGTCAGACCAGTTCAATTTAACGTAACACTGGAGTATTACAGAAAGTGGTTATTTCGTCTTATGCTTCCCTCGCCCAGTTTATATTCCAGAAAAGAAATCCAATTTTGCCACTAAGTTCTTACCAGGAACTTCTTTTCCAATTGCAATAAAGCCATCCTGAACTGCTTTTATAAGCGTGCCGGCATGCTTGCAAAAAAAAGAAGGGCTACTGATCAGTGCGTACTGGAGAGGCTCTAGGAGAACAAAAAAACATGCTCTGTCAATCTGTTATTTCGCAGTCTATTGGTAAGATAAGCCTTAAAAATAATCGAGTGTACATGCGTACTTACAGCATTTAACATAAAACCAACTTCTAATATTAAAGATGAGAACTACCAGCTTTAAATGTTTAAGCCGTTTCTTTCTAACAGACATCTTAAAATCCAACAAAATGGGCAATTTCAGATTATGCAAAAGTACTTTAAAAAAAAAAATGTAACTCTCATACCTAAACTAAGTACAAGTTTGTTTTGCTTAGCAAAATCTAAAACTTCTGGTCCCATCAAGAAGTGAAGCAGCATTTCAATTCCCAAAAGCTGGATGGAAGGAATCACCACCACCCCTGCTGTGCTAGAATTCAAGTTCATCCTCGGTGTGACTGGACTTGCAAACGGGTAAGGACCTAAGCGAGGGGAGAAAAATGACATCATCTCATCTCTCACCTGCAATCAAGCGTAAGAGAAGATCCAAAAGACCAAAATCCCGCAGTTAACATGAAAAGAACAAGTCACAGAACAGCGCTGCCTAAAAGGGACCCCTAGCACGCGCTCACAGTCGTAACCCTGCAGTGTGAAGGTGTCTTCCAAAGATGGTGAAGTCTCGGACGCCAAACTTCATCGTGGCTACAGAGCAAGTTCCCTGCTACGCTATGACTAGTTACACAGTGACTGCACTGCTGTGACAGCCTCCATTAGAAAGTTTACACTGAACACAGCTTTAACAGGCCTCACATGCAGAGCATTTTGACCAAATCCAGTTATGATCTCACAGAACTAAGATGGACTTTCTTTTTTTTTAAGGGAACAAAGGAAGAGCTACCCATCCAGGACACTTCCACGACACATCTGAGGCTTCTCATTACAGCAGTCTGGAACTGCAAAGCTGTGATCGCTAGGGCTTTCCACACAGGGAAGAAAAGGAGGCAGCTCCTTATCTCGGGCGTTGAGACGGCAAGCTCAAGGTGTGATTTCATATAGATTTAAAGTACCAACGTTCCTGATGTGTTATGATCACTGAGTCACTACTCAGGCAGAAACGAACAACACTCTAGAAATGAGAGTGGCAGATGTAAATAACACATACACCTGAAAAACTAAGTTTCAAGCCAAAGCTCCCTTGCAAAAGAGAACGCGATTCAGGACATCAAAACTGGTCCTCAACACAATCTGATTGGCAGTTTCGTAAACCTGAAATACTGGCTACAACGGATGAGTAATCCGACGTAAATCACTACCTCTGAGCTCTCCAACGAGGATCCAGGAATGTTTTGAACAACGACACAGCGCAAACGAAAAAGCATAAACATCTCAAAGGGAACAGACCGCGTCCCGCACCCAGAATGTGGTCGGAAACAGGCTTGTGCTTCCATACCCGATTTGTGCGCGGGGGTGGCCGAGGCTAAGCTCTGGTTGGCTGGTACCCGCGAGGGAGTTCCTTGCAATGCAGCAGGAGAATCCAGACTTAAAGTACTGTGGATTAATGGCACACAAACCTGCAGAGACAGCAAGCCTCAGTGAGAACAGGTATGATGCGTACAAGCCAGAAGCCACAAGGAACCATACATTTCAAGTGTCACACAGACTGTGCTGTTGTTCACAGCATCACTTCCTGGGTACTTATAGCAATATTTTTAAGATGCTGTATAAAATGATACACGCGCTAGAAATGGCTGGATTAAACAGAAACTCACATTAGATTGATCCAACCATACTGTACCTAAAAAGGCAGATTTTTTTTTTCTTTACCCCCATCCTGAAGTTTAATTTAATGAAATTCAGAAGTCTCACAGAAACATTACGTTCATTCCAGTTACAATGTGAACAGTATCGCAACACCCGGATCATTTTTCTCTCTCTGTGCATCTTCCTAAACATTCTATGATCTTTTCAGCATGTTTTCTTCCAGCAGACTTTCCAAAGCACACCCTCGCACAGTGGAAGAACAAAGCAGTCCATACATAACGTTTACTATTGCTGTGCACTCACCAGAGCTTTTCACCGAGGGGCTCACACGACACGCAGGTGTGACCTCAAATCTTTTGGAACTTTGAAAAGCTTGCACGGGTAGCCCCAAGCACTCCTGCTACGCGTAACACACGCACAGCACACACATACACAAGTCAGATTCGGTTCCTTAGGACAGTTTATTTCAATAATAAACTCGAGAAGGACACAGCAGGTACAGAGTAAGTTACCGTAACAAAGCGGGGACTTACCTTCACACACTCAACATGGACCAAGCGATTATGACTATTTTCAGTTGTGTTACCTGTTCAAAGTTGGCAGGCAGCTGAGGTCCCAGCCTCATCAGTAAATACCACCAGACCTCCAGTTTCGTCAGTGCCAAAGCCTCTGTTCTCACGTGGATCGAGCTCAGTGGCTGCATTAGCAATTTCAGCCTTTTAGCACTGCACAATATATCTTGAAGACCAAAAAAAAAAAAAGCGTATTTTTAAGCAACACAAATAATTCAATCACAGAACAACAAAACCAGGAAAATTTTTAAACCATTGGATTTTTTCCTAATATATTTTAGCTTAAAATTCAATTAATGACAATTTGCAAAACTAAAGTACATAGCAAATGCACCAGCCTTTCAAGACCGTTTTACTGCTCTAACTGCTGTCTAGAACAACCCTGGAAATAGCTGGTATTTATTCCCAAGACCAAGAATGAAACGAAATCTACTGCACACCAACGTAAACTGAAAGAAACGCGCCCTTGCTCGCTGTGTTAGAGCGCCCTACCAGCCACAGCAAAAGAAAACCCAAGCACTCGACGTGTATGTGGTGTTACCACCGGATGAGAAGGAGGGATCTCAAAACACAGCATTCTGAGGCCGCAAAGGACCGATGGCCACTGAAGCAGAACTAGCACGGCTCGCCTAGGCAGGAGTTTGCTCAAGCCCATGCAAGTGTTCAGAGAACGAGGTTCGGCCAGCTCAGCAGCACCAGGACCTGTCCACCTGCAGGCCCCAAGAAACTGCTGACAGACTGCTTCGGCGGTACGCGACCCTTGTCAGCCGTACCGGAACAGGCACACCGAACACCAGCCGTTCCACGGAAGCAAATCCTTTGTTAATTAATTTATGGGAAACTAGGATCAGAACAAATGACCAGATAAGAAACAAATTAAAGTGACAATTTAAGTTCAGTTTGGCTAAACCAAGAAATGTCCATTTAGCTTTCTCTTCAGGACCACAGCACGGAGAAGCACAATCAAGGTAGACCGCAAATACTGTGTGCCTTGACACAGGCTAGACTTAAAGAATTGTTCAGGTCTCAGCTACACCTTTAAAGCAACTTCCTTTAACACCTCCAGAATCCTGAGGCATTGCCCTTCTCCAACTAATCCACACAGTCCAAAGTAAGATCTATAGAACGTTTCATTCTCTGTTTTATCGCTGTTTGGGTCAATTACAGCATTACAAACCAAACGTTTGTTACTTTTATTCTATTAATTTCTCCTAGCAGAAAAATTAAGATAGAACTACTGATCAAACTGTCACTTTTCCTTAAAAAACATAACAAGAACTTGAATTTTACTGCATATACCACTACGTGTGTGTACATATACACACACCACTAGGTATGTATTGCAGATATACTATGACTACACCCAGTGGTACCACCATAGCATTGACCACTACTAGACAGAATATTCCCTTCCAGTTACGCAAAGTGACAGCAGTCAAAACAATTCAGGTTAAATTTTTTAATCTACCTGGATTTAGAGCAAAATTATCTATTAGACTCTTCCATGCAATGAAGGCTATTTTCTTTACCACTGGTGAGCCACTACGGAATCCAAGTTCCTCCAGCTGCAGCAATGAGTTGATAAAACTGCCACTACGATGCAGAGTCTGAAGGTAAAGAAGTTCAGAATTAAGATATTTATGCTGCCAAAAATTCCCTCACTAAAGATTTGTGACTGCAAAACTCACTGCCTTTCTGCTTACCTTTCCAAGTAATTTGACAAACAGCGGCCATAATTTTAACACGTAAGTCTCATTTTTTGTAGAAAACAATTTCTGAAGTTCTGAAATTAATTTCTGCAGACAGAAACAAACATAATTTCTACAAGAAACATATTCCTAGTATTATAAAAACTACACACTCGCACCAACGTCTGGAAATACAACCAACTTGGAATTAGGCTATTTTTAGATCAGAAGGATTTAATTCTGTACCACACAGCATCTGCCTGTAAATCAGTGGAATGTCACTACCACCTCACTACCATCTTCTTAGCTGAAGTTTATGGTTGGTTTCAGTTATTCTGATAGCTGCAACCAACAAATCAAAACTCATTTCCTTAAATACCTGTAGTCTCTCTCTCTCAAGTCAAAACACATCGTGACCCTAAAAACCAGTCGTTTGTTTGGGTTTTTTTTGTAAACATACCTCCTGGTTTTGCCTGGGACAGAGTTGATTTTCTTCCTAGTAGCTGGTACGGTGCTGTGTTGTGGATTTAGGATGAGAATAATGTTCGTAACAGACTGATGTTTAGTCGTTGCTAAGCGGTGTTTATACTAAGTCAAGGACTTTTCAGCTTCTCCCCCTGCCTGGCCAGCAGAGGGTGGGAGGGCACAAGGCTCTGGGAGGGGACACAGCCAGGACAGCTAGCCAAAGGGCTATTCCATACGACAGGACATCATGCCCAGTATATAAACTGGGGGGGGGCTGACCGTTGTGCTCGGGGACTGGCTGGGCTTCTGTCAGCGAGTGGTAAGCAATTGCATTGTGCATCACTTGTCTGTCTTGGGTTTTATTTCTCTCTTTTTGTTACCTTCCCTTTCATTACAGTTACTGTTAGTATTATTATTATTGTATTTTGGTTTATTTCAATTATTAAACTGTTCTTATCTCAACCTATGAGTTTTACTTTTTTTTCTTCCTCTCCAATTCTCCTCCCCATCGCACCAGGGGATGGGGGCAGAGGAGCGAGGGAGCAGCCACATGGTGCTTAGTTCCAGCTGGGGTTAAACCACACTGTCTGGTAAGCAAATTCTCTTTAAGGGACAATAAAAGTTTAATGACATTATATAAGTTAATGCTATCAAGACAGGTGCTTCAAGGTCACTTAAAAGCAAGTTATTTTCCTGATCAATGATTCCTTGTCAGAAACTCAAAATTATTTTTTTTTTTACAGTGGTTCTATATTTACATTGCTGTACACTACTTTTTCTGTGGAAACTGCTGTCACCCAGAAGTTACTGTCAACACACAGCAGCATTTCCCTGCCACTAAGTAGACTGTAAATGAAATAAAAAATACCCCAACCAACCAACAGCCCTCATTACTGCTCCCACTGCCTCTAGAAAAAAGGCACAGCATTTCTTTCCACTTACTGTGGTCATCAGGTGCTCAGTGACAGCCGCTACCTCCTGCTGTTTCTGGAGGAGCAGTGGCATGCCCATCTCCAGGGCAGTGGCACCTCGTAACTGCACCTTATGAGCTGAATGGACGACCAGAGGGATGATCAGTTTTGCCCACCTCACAGCCTCTTCTCCCATCTGGGCTGGCGTTTGCTCCATTAAGCTAGATCCAAAATACAAATACAGGCATTACAAATCTCCAACAGACATACTGCTCAGATACTCAGAGATAATCTTAGTATCATCAATAAATGCTCTAATTCAACACATGATTTACAGGAAACCATTCCAAACAATTTTATTTTTCTAAATAACTGTAATTTTGACAGTTCCCTTAAAACTGCAAGGCTGAATGTTATCTTAGATAAGCCTCTCCAAAAGCAGAGCAGACTGACCTTCACCAGTTGCCCTTTCTATTCTATCAGTACTTTTTGGTCAAAAGAGCTGAATCGAGAGCCTGAAGGAAACATGCCATCACTTCCTTATCAGTGACCAAGCACAGTTGGCTCACTAACCACCCCTGTGTGTTCTCAGCCGCCCAGCCCAGCTCCCACAGGCCATGTGTGCTGAAAACAACCACCCAGATCCTGAAGCAGCAGAGGATCAAGCGTCCTTATCTGAGCCTTCTACTACCGAGCTGCTCGAGCACAGAATGACAATTCCACATGTTTACACCACCCACACCGAAGCCAGCGAAGCTTCCCGCAACGGGAGCACTCGCCACACGTTCAACCCGGCCTGTAGGAACCAGCTTGTCTCCAAGTCACGGAATTTGCTAGTGTCCCCTTTGGCATGGGTACGTCAAATCCCCATCACTACAGTTATGAAGGGGTTGCTGTACTAAGGAAAACTGCTGCCTTTCAAATAATTTTCTGAAAGCCAGAGGACAAGCGCTGCTTAAGAGAAAGGTTTTCCATCACATGCCAGCAGCCTAACTTCTGAACAAGAGCACTGTCTTGCCACTGCTGTCAATCAGCCTGTTTAAGGATTAATTTCAGGTTCCACTCTTGCTCTCAAGGATAACTACAGTCTTTCTAATGAACATGTATGACCTTATTTTTAATATATATATACACACACAAAATAACTAAAAGAAACCATTCAATAAAATGCATAATTTTCCAGAAACAATTGTCTGCTGAAATCTCAGATTTGCAAGAGGAATTAAGTGTGCAACTAGCCAGATGCAAGCAGTTGCTAAATACTAACATCCAACTTCCCTGCTACAGAAAATGAATGCACTAGAATAGAGCCAAAATAGACAAATAATGACTGTTGTAACTATTCCACTTTAAAATGGATTTGCAGTTCAAACCAGATGCAAAAAGTTCAGAGAATACTGACATAATAGTAAAGATATAAGCTCAGCCCATTTACTAATAAAGAAATTAAAATAATACTAAGTAAAGATAAAGCTTGACTATTCTAGCTGACCAAAACAATGCATTCTTGGTATGGGTCCAAGAATTAAACAGTACCCTCTGCAGCGTTATGAGAAACATTGCAGTAAAATTTGTAAACAACCATGGAGACATTTTAAAATAAAAACCCACATAATGGCTGAGCATTTCTCAGCCGGGTCGGTTCTGAAAACAAAGGCTGGAATGTAATACATGACTTGAGGCATGCAGGAAACTTTGGAAATAATTCCTAATAAGCCACTGAAAATGAAAGCAATGACACTTCATCTGAACATTGACTACTTTCTGCATCAGAATCAAGTGTCATATTATCACTAACGGAGTATTTTGCCAATGAAGCAGTTCAGGAGAACCACTGGCAAAGAGACAGAAACAGAGATAGTAGCTCACACAACTTCATTCTGTTTTACTGACTGTAATACAAAACACTGTGGGAAAACAGACTTGAACATACTGAGCAATTCAAAAAAACATTCCTTTACAATACCTAGTGACACTAAGATTTTGGTTTAGTAGTTTCCCAAAAAAACTAAGCAGAGTTTCAAAAATTTACTATTGCAGCACGCATACCGTATAATAACATTTAGTGCTTCGTATTCAACCACCATAGACTGTACATCTCCTTTAGTAAGTACTGCTTCCAGGGTAGAAATAATACTGGAAACCTGAGGAGACAAGAGAAGAACATTAAAGCAAGCACCTGAATACAAGTACTTCCAGGAGGAGCTGGAATTCGGGAATTCTGTTTCCCAGGACAGTGCCCCATGTTTGGATTATGCCTGGTCTAGTTTTAAGGTTCGAGCTCTGACCAAACTGGAATATTCACTCATTTCTCCCCGTATGCTGCTTCACTAGTATCTAACAGAGTTGCTCACATTTCAGCTTCTCCCTCAAGAGAAGCAGTAATTCGTTGGCTCTTTTCCCTGTGTAGCTGCCCTTACAATTTTTCCACGAACTTGGGCCTCACACTTGGATGTCAAATTTGATGGAAAACGACCTTCAGATTCAAAAGCTACTGAGTGGAGAGTGACCAAGAGATTGCACAAGCCTCTTCTCCCTAAGAAATCGTGCCAAACAAAAAAAAAAAAAACCAAAAGTGAAGAAACTTACCTCCTTCTTTACAATTTCTGAAGGAAAAGTCTGCTTGGAGATCACCCAAAGTGCCCGAGTGCGAGTGTTTTTGTCCGAAGTTTTTACAGCAACACTGTTCACCATTAAAAGCAAGTCTCTCATTTCAGTTGCTGAAAGTAGAATGCACCGCACTAAAATTCTGTTTATGCAATTTTAATCAGCGTCTCAGCAAGTTTTGGGTCATTTTGCTCAGTTAAGGTTACTAAAGATCCGTTCAACTGCAAGTCCCAATGGACATAATAAGCTTTATAGTTACAGAGGGCAGTAAAGCTGTTAACTGAGGTAAGTGCAAGCTTATTACACACAAGAGAATAAGGCTAACATAGGAGTTACAGGCAACTAGGAAGACAGACTGAGAAACCACATATTCCTTTAAAATTCAAAACTAATCAAGCCCAATTTCTTGCAAATTTGGGCTTTGTGGGTAAACGATCTCACTATCAGAGAAACACACTCACATATATCCCTCTCCCCAGCCAGGAGTACATATGCTTTCTGTCTTCTCTCCCTAACCCTCCATTGTTTTCAGGGCTTAGTTATTTCTGAAACCTGACATTCTCTAACCAAATTGATCGTAATTTATCAACTGGTTAAAAAAGTTATAGGGGAAAGGAAAGAGATCACGTAGGCATTATTATAGATGCTTCATTCTCATAGGAAATCGGCCTAAATTTTGCATAATAGGAAAGCAGGACACACTGAAAAATTGAGTAGAAGAACTAAATGAAACACTTTCAATAACCAGAATGGCAGAGTCATGCATATCTCTGCACATCCACATACATGGTTTCGTTCAATCTTGCCCAAGGTTAAGTTCCTTTCTAATAAAGGTCATTCCAGAACATTTGTTCAAGAGTATTTAACACTTCTCAGAAGAAAAAAAAAAAAGAAAGAATAAGCAACAGCATGCCTTTTGTTATTACTGTTTCAAGAGGCACTACAGACTACGGCACCACACAACAGCCAAATCACAACGCATTTCCTTGGGTGCCCAGGACAGGCAACCTGAGTGTAACCCCCTTCCCCCAGCACCCAGCCTGACCGACACACACACGCAGCCGGCTGACACCGAGCAGCTTCTGACCACGGTAGTGCAAGTGGACAGGCCTGACCCCCGGCACGTGGGACAGGCACCTCCCGAGGAGCAGCCAACTTGCTTTTACCTCGGTGTTTTTACCTCGGTGCACAGGCTCAAGTTCTCAGCAGCAAAACCTTTTGTTAATGGGATTCAGCACTTTCTAGGAACGCAGGCCATAAGCACTTGGATTACTTTAGTTTAATTTGAAATATTTACCAGCACAGGTTTTGGTGTTGGACTAGGTGACCTTTAAAGATCCCTTCCAGCCCAAACCATTCTATGATTCTACAATTTAATGGAATCACCAGGGAAAGGCTGGAAAACGCTGAAAAGCACTACTACACCTACCCAAACTCTACACACAAAACCCCACAGTCTTCATTCTTTTCCAACCCAGAAAACTTTTTTTGATTACTAATTCCATACAACTAATTACAGCACCTAACTGCTAACAAAGCCTTTAACGAAACTAGAGGTCAGTAAAACAGTATTAGCGTAACAGCATGAAAAAAACATTACAATTTTTGGTACGAGATGGAATTGGTTAACCACTACACTGGTCATACTGGAGACAACACCACTGCACCACCTGGGAACTGTAAACTTTGTCAAAATTAAAGTCTATGCTAACAAAGAACTCTGAGATACATAGATAGATAGATGTATACACACACACACACTACAGCATTCACACTGAAGTTTGTTTGCTTACCAGATAATTCAGCTGTAATATTTGAATTAAAAACGCAGAATCCTAACGCCTGTAATGCTGCATTACTGAGCTCTGAGTTTGGACTAGAAATGTGTGCCTGAAAAAAAAACCATATACATAAAAGTCTCAGTTTGCAGAAGTAGCTGTGAAGTAGTGTCTTAATACCAACACTCCTGCTCCATGAAGAGAGAGCTGTCAACAGCAAACACTTGATGGAAAAACGCACCCATGTAAGAAACCCTTCCTGATTACATAAGCTCCAAATCAGTAAAACAATCTGAGGTTTTGAAGACATTTTTGGTTCGTGTAATTTAGACATTTTTACTGAAGTAAGGTCTAGACATCCAAAGTTCCCTAATTCTTCACTGATTATGTACTATCACTTGACTCTCCAACTGTTTTTAAAAATCTAAAACAGAAGGGAAAAAAAGATGGCCAAGACCAGGCTTCACCTTAACCAAAAAAAAACAAAAAACAAAAAACAAAAAATGACTTTTACTGCATATTCCAAATCCCCAAAGTGTTTCTAAAGGCAGACAGAACATGCTGCATCTTTTCTGGCTGCAAGATCAGACTTGACTACATAACACTGCCTGGACACATCCAACACCCTGTATTTTATTTTTTCTGTAGTAGTTTCTAGTAACGTGGAAGACATATTTTGCCAACAAACCCTTCCTGCTATGTCACTGGCTTGAATTCTTATTAAATTAACTCAAATTCGAGCCTTACAACGGCCGCTGACCTTGACCACCCAAACAGATCTTCGTGCACTGAAGTGTAGAAAATTGAAAAGACATACCTTAAACACTTTGCAAAGCCGAGGAAAGTGTCTTTTGACATTTGCAGTGAATTCTTTGCCTTCATCACCAGTCAAGCGACTTCAAGGAGCAGAAGGGACAACAAGCAATACTCACAGGTTAAACAGGTTATAATGGACATAACTTTAAATTTCCGACACACAATTTATCAGCTAATATAAAACCATTTCTTTCCTTAGAAAGCTAAAACACAGTACTGAAGAAGTTAAAGAGCAAACATGCCAGTCACCACAAACTTAGTCTGACATATCAGTAAAACATTGTCATAAAGTACTTGTGTCCTACTATATTAGAAAAAGTGAAGTGACTAATGACCCCTTTTGAGCATAACCCCCCCCCACACTAAGGGCTTTCATTTTTATTAACTTCTTAACAAACCACTGTAAGTTAATATGCAGACTTTAAACGACTTCTGAAAAAGAGATAAAACTTTCCACATAAATATATGAGATTAAAAAGTACACCCCTCAAAAGCAGGTCTAGACTGCAGGCTCCCCCAAAATTCTGGTTTGACAACTAGCAGTGATGACTGTGCATATATCTGAAGAACACCCATACAAGAGCTGTACATATCCTATAAAACCTTAGCAACCAGTTTCACAGAGCAAACCCCCACCATATTAAGTGTGGTCATCCAGAAGACAACCCGAGAAATCTCTTGTTGCTTTTTTGTCGGTTACTACTAGAAACCTGTGAAATCTTACAGCGTGATCAGAGTTGCTGATTCTCAAGAGCTTCACAAGTTAATATAAAACTGAAAGACATGAACTGAAGGGAGATACTGATGGAAAGATTGCCCTTGCATATGCTAACACATTCGAAAGACCCAGGTAAAAGCAGAACCTCATGGTTAAGAAGTACCTTCCAGAAAAAAATTAAATTAAGAGAAGACCCAAACCCGGAAAACACAACAACAAATCCAAACTTTCCAATCATAAAGCTGAAATGCAAGTCTTTTTCCAGCTAGGAAAAGAAGTTATTTCCCATCATTCCTTCACCCCGCTCCGCAGTTTGCCCAGAAAATGTAAAAGCAGAGGCTCTCGGATGAGCAGACACCAAAAAGACGCCCTGTCGTCTCCTCCTTCCCGCCTTCCTCGCCCTCCAGGCCCGCACGCTTCCCGCGATCTCCACCCCACGGCCACGCAGCCCCATGCCCGGCAGCCCGCCCCA